AGGTGGGATGTTTCGGGGGAGGGAGAGGAAGAAGGGATTGACATCTGAAGCAAGCTTGTTCCTAATTTGAACTAATAAAATAAAATAAAATAAAGGGAAGAAAAAAAGAAAGAAAAGAGAAGAAATGAGAAAAACCACACTGTTCCCCCCAAATTTGTATCACTTAAGCATAAAATATGTAACAAAGAAATATAAATTCTTGTCTACAGTCATACAAAAAAAGGTTAAATTTATGTGTATTGGTGTTTTGTCTACATGCATGCCTGTGCACACGCATGCCAGTGCTCAGCGAGGCCAGAAGAGGGCAGTGGATCTCCTGGAACTGGAGTTGTATAGAGGGTTGTGAGCTACCACACGGGTACTGGGACTCTGCTGAACCATCCTTCTCGTGACTTCTATAGCAGTTTTCATTTTTCTATACAATGAGAGAGAAGCAATAGAATAAGAATGTCAGGCCAAAGCTTACTTGGGAGTCATGGATAATGAAGGATGAGAATAATTTGGTTACCAAAATATTAAGAAGTTTGAGAAAACAGATAAAGCTTGAGTGTCTTACAAATGCTCGTGTCAGTGTAGGAGTCAAGGCATATCCTTCAGAAACAGTCAGCTCCAGTTAGTACTTGGTTAGTTCTCTGCTCTAAGATTTAGCACTACCGATACTAATCTTAAATAAAACTTTACATTTCCAGCCGGGTGTTGGTGGCACATGCCTTTAATCCCAGCACTCGGGAGGCAGAGGCAGGCAGATCTCTGTGAGTTTGAGACCAGCCTGGTACAAGAGCTATTCCAGGACAGGCTCCAAAGCCTCAGAGAAACCCTGTCTGGACCCACCGCCCCCCTCCCCCCAAAAAACAAACAAAAAACAAAACAACAAAAAACTTACATTTCCTTCATAAAATTTTACATTTTGATTTTGAGCTACACTCCAGAGTAAATGGGGGAAACAATCCAGGGTCTCTTCAGGGATAATTATCTGTTAAATCACTTTTACTCATATCTTCACTTTCCTCATAAGAACTGTTACTCATGCCAAATGCAAAATTAATTTATGTCAATAAAACTAAAGCAAGAAACTCAATACAGTTTTATTCAGTAATGCCTTTATTTCATTGGCAAAAAAAGCACTAAACTTATGTAACAGTTTTCTTATCACAGTAAATACACATCTCCAGGAGTAAGTCACAGTGCAAGTTAAGATGGGGCTACCACACAAGATGGAGATGAATGGCTTTTGATTATAAAAACTACATGAGCTATCAAGAAAACAAGGCTTCAGAATGGTGGCTTCTTACAGTTCACATAGAACTTCCAGTGTTGCTCCATTACATGGCGTGGCAGAAACTCCTGATCACTGATTAAAAGTATTTCTTTTATCTGTAGATAAGGAGGGATGCTTTGCATTGACTTCCTGGGAGTGCCTGTTAAAATACAAATCACCATTAAACCCAGCTTTTTATAATGTAAGATTTAAATAGTTATTACATAACCAAGAATCTAGTCAGTGAGCACACTTGATATGTTTTCTGACCAGGACATTCATCAGTCCACTTTCTGTACCTGAGACAAACTTATAGGAAGGAGGGAGAGGGAGAGAGAGGTGGGGGCTACTTGAGTTATTCATGAATTACTGAATCAAATCTTACTCCACAGAGACTGCCAGTGTGTTATAAGTTTACCAAGGCTGTTTTTAACTAGACATGCCATACAGTCCAGTAATTTTATCCGTATCCTAGGGACACAAATGTTTCATATATAATTAGGTATTTTAAGGGTAGTGGTGCTTTTGATGACCAGTACCCATCTATATTCCCCCTGTGACATGCCTGCCTGTGACTTTTTCTTCCACCTTACTTGGCTCATATACTTTGGGCTGTATTTATTCTCAACTTCTTGATTCATTTCCATCTGCACCAATCAATCAGTAGGCACCGGCTCAGTGATAGGAACATAATCCCTTCAGAGGGAGGTAAGGTCCAATGAGATCTCTGCTGAGTCTCTGGGGAAGAGTCACATCTGAGTCCCCTTTCTAGACTTGAATTAACAGGTGGACAACTTTGTTGACACTAATGAGAGGCTCTTAGGAGGGGCCACAGTGTGGAAGTGGAAATTAGAAATGCAGTGGCTTTTTAAATTTTTTTTAAGATGGGTCTCATGCATCTCAGGCTAGCCACTACACAGGATGACCCTGAACTTCTGATCCCCTGCCTTAACCTCTTAAGTGGTAGGATTACAAGTATGTGTGAGTATACCGGGCTTATGGGATTGGAGTAGAGACGTTGAAAGAGGAGAAACTCCATTTTGAGTCATGCTGTTTGAGTCCTAGATAGAACCTGCAGATCTGCCCTGGCCTTTACATGTGTACATGTGTCAATACAATTCCATTTTCAGTGGTTTAAGTCTGAGTGTGGTTTTAAACCAGCACTTAGAGACTTCGGGGACAGCTGGTCTTACAACCTTAAAGACCAAATTTTGATTCCCCAGAACTCAGGAAAAAAAATAAAAACAGTAGACATAGAGGGTAGTGGTATATCTTTGTAATCCAGCAGAGAGAAGGCAGTGATGATAGGTGGACCCCTGGAGCTCACTGACCACCCAGCTTAGTTTTCTTGGTAAGTTCCAGGCCAATGAGACTTTGAGCAAAGAAAAAAAAAAAAAACTAAAGCAAAATAAACAAAGGAAAAAACAAAACAAAATAAAAAACAAGGTGGACAGCAACCAAAGAACAATAGCCAAGGTTATCTTCTGCTGCCCCTTGTGTATACACGCATGCATGCATACATGTGTATGCGCACGTGCACGTAAACACACACACACACACTCACACACACACACACACACACACACACACACGAATCTGTTACTATCATCAAATACCTTTTACATTAAAACATGTTCCTTATATAAACATATAATCCCCCATATTAACTGTAGATGACAAAAAGGTCCTTGTGCAAACAGATAAGCAAGGGAGAAGCCAGTAAAGTTAAACTCACAGGCATCCTTCAAAGGAAAGAGATGTTTAATCTGTCCTCCTCCTGAGTATGGATGTATTTTACAATCTGTCGATCCTCTGCTGTCTGATGAGTCAGATTCTGCCCATATTTCCCAGAATTTATATTTTACTTACCTCAGACCCTTTCCCCCTAATCCTGAGCATTACTTCTAGGCCATAAAACTCATCCTCATGAGAGATGTTGTTTGTACTTTACAACAGCCTAAGTGACTTCTGTGTCATCTTAGGGCCAGGCCAACCCTGACACCCACAGGGATTGTTTTACCTCAGTCACACTCCCTAGACCCTTACTTTGAGCAAGGGTTTTAAATCAACAAGAACCCATCTTAAAGACAAAGCCATATATACTTCAACATAAACATGTCTTAAGCTTTGTTGTACTCACTGGCCTGAGTTAATTGTTATCTGAAAACTTCTTTCCAAAATTGTGCTGTGTTTAAATATGGCAAAAACATTCAAAGTGATGTCAGACTCTCAAAGTCTTGGTCCAGCACTGGTGTACCTAAATTGGGCTGAACTGAGTTTCGTTCTTCTTTCACGCAGATTGTTGCTCTGCTGGCTGTAAACCCTGCAAGGACCTTCCACAATTAACAGCTGTGTTTTTCACAGATTTCAAACTGAACTGATGGGATTTGACAATCCTGGTTCAATCTGCCAAGTAATTGGGATGGTGGGCATGTATCACCACACCCTGTTTTCAGAAACAAGGTATCCCACAAAAGCTGGTGATGGGAGATATTGCTCAGGTAAAACTCAACAGTGAGGTTCTCACTGACTGTCCTTACCTCCATAAGACACTATGCCTCCGTTAGGTTGACTATGTTCTGAGTGCTTAATCCATCTGTGTGAGTTTATTTCTAATTTATGCTTTATTTCAGTCCTGTGCTATTTGTAAGCAAAGTGACTAGGTTTCCGATGTGTACATACTTCCCATTTCAGACATGTCTGCCAGTGTCCACCTAAAGTCCTCTTCTACACTGCCAGTATCTGAATACCTGTGATGATGCCTATTTTTCTCCTCCACATCCTTAAGAATACTGCAGAGTATAAATGTTTAAAAGCTATCCCAATAAAACTACTGTTTTCACTGACGCCTTCAGATGTCTAGTATGAGCATCTTTCACATGGACTTAATGCCCTTTAAAACCTCTAGCCCCAGGAAGGTGCCTATTAAAGATTCCGTTGGCAGTGACTGATCAGACAGCAACCCAGAGTGCGTTGTTCATTAGGCCAGGAATTTAATCTGCATATGGATCAAAATTCCTCTTTCAAGCTGTAGCTCAGCTCACTGGGCACAAGATACTGTGCTTAGTTAAATTGGGTGCTCCAAGAGGGAGGAGTTTGTTGCATGTCTCACTAATAAGAGACTCACAAAGACAGTTTCAGAGAATCTCTGCTTATAGTTCTCATTCTGTGGACACAAAAATAAAGGGGATTTTATTTGTTTATTTTGAGATGAGATCCAATTATATAGCTCAGGCTGATCTTAAACTTATTGGGGGAAGCAGGGATCTATTGACAAACCACAGGCCTATCTTTTGAATAGTTGGTCTCTGGCTGGTAGTGCTAATTTGGGAGGTTATGGAAACTTTAGCAGGTAGAGCCTTGATGAGGAAGTAGATGACTGAGAGAAGGTCAGGGCATATATTATCCCTGGCCACTCCTCTCCTGCTTCCTGGTCAGCCATGGGGACATTTCTGGCACCATGTTGTCTTACTAAAGCACACGGAACTGAATAATCATAGACTTTGAAACTGTGAGTCAAAAGAAAAATTTCTTTCTTTAAGTTGTTTCTTCCAGGTATTTTACTTCAGTGACATTAAAAGCAATAGGTATATTTTGCTACCTAAAAGGACTTTTGGCAGAAACTACTGGTTACTTCCTTTCTAGCATTTTCTTCTGTTAGCTGACAGAATGCTTGCTAATATGTTATATGAAAAACTTTCCTTGCAGCTATGTGTGGAATTTCATTACATTCTGGCCAAAGAAATGAGTGCCAAGTTCTGGGCTAGACTTTAGGTACAATTCTTTAAGGTTGCCTCCTAATGTCTAGAGTTCAGATGTGAAGCTAGATATTCATTACAACGTGGGGCCACGAGTTAACCTAAGAAAACAGCATTGAGGAAGATGGAGCAGGAAGACAGGAAGACTGTGTTGCTGTTATACCTGTCATGGATTGCTAGTATCCAGACTTCCCTGTGAAAGAATAATTGTATGTATTATGTTTGTGTGTATAAGCCAGGGGGGTAGGGTGGGCATGGAGTACACATGGAAGCCAGGGAACAATTAGCTTTCTCCTTCCACCATGTGGGTCCAGAGACTGAACTTGAGTAGTCAGGCTTGGTGGCAAGTGCTTTAATCTGGTGAGCCATCACACCAACCAAGAAAATCTCCCCACCCACTGCCACTGAAAAAGAAAAGTCATGTATATATAGTTTTGAATTCCTAATTCAAAACAGTCTTTTGAAAAGTAAGTAGTCAGAAACATAGCTCCAGAACTAATGTTTCTTCTGGGACTCCAGTTCTGGGCTTGCTCCTATCCCGTTATCTGCTGCTTTTAGGAATTTTGTTGTTGAATTTTCAGCTTTAAAAACAACTGTATTGGAGTAAGAGGCCCAGACCTTTTCTCCAGTAAGATAAGACCATGTGCAGATAGTTTCTTGGTTCATGGTGGAAGCCATGTCTACTTCCCCTTCTCAGTGCTGGGACCCCATCTGGCTTGAACCTGTGTGGGTCCTGTGCATGTTGCCATAGTCTGTAAGATGGAGTGCTCCAAAGTTTCTCGTTCTCTGCACATTATCTAGTTGTGGGTCTCTGTTAGCTCCTATCTACTGCAAGAAGTTTCTCTGATGAGGGCTGAGCAAGGCACTGATATAGAATATGTTGTTAGGAGTAATTTTATCACTTGTTCCTTTAGCAGAATAGTAGTATTGGGTTTTCCTTTAGGCCAATGACCTATCTAGTCTGATATCCTTGGTCACTATAGCATTGTTAGGTATGGGTTTCTCTTCATCAAGTGGGCCTTCAGAAAGTTGTTGGTTATACTCATACTATTGCACCATTACGTCTTGTAAACAGGCCACTGTTGTAGGTTGCTGGGATTGAGGCTCAGAGATACTGATAATTACTTTTCTCCTCTGGTAGTGTGCAGAGCACCTTCCAGTACCATGACATTAGTCAGTAGGGGTGAAGCTTCCAGTCAGGGATGAATTCAACTTTTCCATGTTCCATGACGCCTTTAATCCCAGCACTCGGGAGGCAGAGGCAGGTGGATCTCTGTGAGTTTGAGGCCAGCCTGGTCTCCAGAGTGAGTGCCAGGATAGGCTCCAAAGCTACATAGAGAAACCCTGTCTCAAAAAACCAAAAAAAGAAAGAAAGAAACAAAGCCTGAAGGAGGATAAGTACCTAATAAGAGTAACAAGATTGTTTATTTAAGCTCTTATTTACAACTCTGAATTATTTTTCATTGTTTTAATTATAGTTTCTCACTCAGATATCATGATTAACACTATTTTAACCTAGCTCATAAATTGAAATATACATGTATATGTACACATTTATACATATATGCATGAAGATTTACCTTGTCTACAGACCTCTGAGACTATTTACTTCTTTATAGTAACACTCTGGGTTTCTTTTTATATTTGATCAAATGCTCAAAAACCTGAACACTTTACAATCTCTCTCCCTCCCTCTCACTCTTTCTATCTCATATATACACACTAAGGGCTTAAGTTGTTTTAAACTCAAACACTTCAGGTCTCTTGATCTTGGGCAAAGCATCATGGTATCATGGGGGAGATTAGAATAGGAAGAATAAATGGGATGGATGTAAGAGAGGGGTAGAGAAGGGAATACGGGAAGTAACAACTAATACTAAAAACCATTTGAAAATCCATATGGAAACCTATTACTATAGAGGCTTCTCAATATATATACACAGATGAAAGGAATCTAAGTGGAGTCACCAAAAATAGGGGATTCAATGTCTCAACAAGACATCTTGTGCCACTAAGTAAAACCTCCATTGCCAGGAATGGGTTACATCTTGTTGCGTCATTAAACAGGAGCTCCATGGAAACCCTTGAACATAGTAAGGCTGCTATTCTGATAGATCAGTACCTTACTCGTCCCTCATCAGAGAGGCTTCTTGCCATAGACGGGAACTAACATGGAGAACCACCCCCCCCCCCCCCCACAAAGAAAGCACTGTCAGAAGACAGTCATTTATTCATATATTCAATGAGCATTACTCAATGGATATTTATTGGAAGCCCTGGTGTGGTGAACATTGGGGACTATAAGAAATAAGAGCCTATAAAAATCTCTTTGAACTCAAAGACCTCTTCAATCTCTCAGAAGGATAAAAGCCAGGAAACCAGCAATGATCTATAATAGTGAATGACAAGCATAAGGTCTGACACTCCATTTGCAGTGCTTTAAGGTCTACATACACTTCCTATAAAAGAAGGTAAAACATTCCCCTCTTCCACATTTTCTTTTTTTGAATAATTTATTTTTTAAAATTTCATTTTACATTCCAACCACAGTTGTCCCTCCCACCCCTCCTCCTGCTCACTTTTGCCTCCCACTCAGCCCACCCCCAGTCTACTCTTCATCATGAGTAAAGGCTCCCATGTGGAGTCAACAAAGTCTGTCACAAAAGGATGGGGCAGGGCCAAGCCTCTCACCCATGCATTAAGGCTGATCGTGACATCCCACCATAGGGAATAGGCTCCAACAAGCTAGCTCATGTATCAGGTTTGTATCACATTTTGTTTTCTTAAACACCGATTTACTTGGCTCTTATACTGAATCATTGAAGCAATGAACTTCTAAAATGAAAGGGAATGTCACTAATAATTTTTGTAATAATTTTTTACTAATAAATTTTGTAGATATTTCTTTGGTCAAACCTGAATACATGGCCACCCTAGCTGTAAGAAGTATAATATGTTCTTTCTAATCCCCCCTTTTCCTCCTCTCTCCAAAAAACACTCTTGGAGGACTGGTCACTGGAAACACAGGAAACAGATTTTGCTTATGATCTGGGGTGGGCTCATGAAGTTTCCACATGGTATCTACAGTGTCAGAGACAAGTCTTTATTTCCCTAACTTTTGATATGTTAGAAAGGAGAAAGATTCTCCCATGAATGCTTCTCTTGCAGTTGGGTTAAAGCACTTTACATTTTTCTAACTCATACTGTCAGGTACCATAAAACAGACACACAGAATCCTAATCAAGAAAGCTGAAATGAAACTCCCAACAGCAGCCAACAGCATCCAGCAAGGGTCTGACTGTGGATTTAAAGGCTCAGAATGTAAGACCCCCCGGAAAGCTCAGGCTTCCAGGATCTTAGCCCAGGACCTCAGCCACCCCAATCACAGAATGAAGGTGAAAGCTTGATGCAAATTGCATGAGGCTTTATTGTAGTTTAATGAGCTAACCCCATGTTAGCTCGGATCTTTGATTCACCCTCCTTGTCGGATGGCTAGCAAAGACAGTTCGAAGCCGCTGCATACAGATCTTTATAGGGCAGCGTAAGGGGAGTGTCTAGGGGTATGCACAGGCTCAGGATTGGTGTGCCTCCAGGCTTGGAGGGTTTGCCCTGTGTTGATCGGTCAACTGGTTGTTATGGCCCATAGGCCCTCCCAGGGTGGTTGCTATGTTCTGTGCGTCATTGCTGTGCGCTTGTCTGTAAAGCACACCCAGAGCCATAAAGCATAGCACCACCAGCTAACTTCTGATTGGTTCCTTGCCACGAGGCAGGCATCTGACCTCTAAGTGACCAAGGCAAGGTTATATTATAGGCAGCAGGGAAAAAATTGGGAAGCAGATGGCCTTCATGATGTAAGGAAGAATATAATGCTGATCTTTGATTTCCAGGTTAGAAACTAGGAGGAGAAAGGTTTGCCAGACTTTCTTGGGAATAGCTGTGGGTGTGATGTATGTGTATATATGGGGTGGGGTGGAGGAGTGGAGGGACAGACAGAGAGATACAGGGACAGAGAGGCAGAGAATAAGAGAGATGCTGATACAGCAATTCCACTTTTAGGAAGCTATTAATTATCTTTTGCATAAGAAATAAAATACTATTACTCATCCAAGATCCACAGTCAGGCCTGGTGATAGGAATCACTTAAAAATAATGAGGTCACTAGGTCTGATGCCATGATTTGATTAAATTGACCTACTGTAGTCAGGGTTAGTATGCTATTTTCTGTCAACTTGATACAAACTAGTGTCACCTCAAAAGAGAGAACCTCAGTGAGGAATAACCCCCATCATAGTGGCCTGAAGGCATTGTCTGTGGGAGGAGCACTTTTTTGATTGTTGATTGATGTGGGAGAGCCTAGCCTACTGTGGGCAGTGCCACCTCCAGGGTCTGCTTGCTGGTCCAGGACTGTATAAGAAAGCAGATTGAGCCAGTCATGGGAAGCAAACCAAAACCAACATTTGTCTTTGGTCTCTCCTTCAGTTCTTGCCTCTGGGTTCTTGTCTTGGTTTCCCTTGATGGTGGACTTTAACCTGCAAGTCAAAACTTCCTTTCCTCCCCTAAACTGTTTTTGGTCATTGTTTTATTATAGCAACAGAGAAGAAAATAGGACAGTTTGGAACCGAACACCAGTATTACCAGAACTACTAGTTTCTTTCTTTCTTTTTTCTTTTTTTTATTTGAATTAGAAACAAGATTGCTTTACATGTCAATCCCAGTTCCCACTCCCTACCCACCTCCCCTACAACCTCCCCCCAGCTAAAACCCTACCTATCATATATCCTTTCTGCTCCCCCTGGAGGGTGAGGCCTTTCACAGGGTGTCATCACAGTCTATCGTGTCCTTTGGGATAGGGCCTAGGCCCACCCCCGTGTGTCTTAGCTCAGGGAGTACCCCTGTATGTGGAATGGGCTCCCAAAGTCTACACCTATGCTAGGGATAAGTACTGAACTACCACAGGAGGTCCCGTAGATTTCCGAGGTTTCCTCACTGAAACACATAGAACTACTAGTTTCTTACACCTTTAACTTCCCCATATTCACTGATCTGATCTCCCAGACTAAGTTTCCAAATGAGGAAACATCCTTATGAAGCCTCTCTTTACAAAACTGGCCGAAGGTACCTACTATGATGGGGGTTTGGTTTCTACTGCTGCAATGAAACACCATGATCAAAATGCAAGTTAGGGAGGAAAGGGTTTATTTGGCTTATACTTCTATATCACTGTTCATCATTGAAGGAAGTCAGAACAGAAATTCAAACAGAGCAGGAACCTGGAGACAGGAGCTGATGCAGAGGCAATGGAGGAGTTCCACTTACTGGCTTGATCTCCATGACTTGCACAGTCTGCTCTCTTATAGAACTCAGGACCACCAGCCCAGTGATTGCCCCACCTGCAATAGACTGGGTCCTCCTCTATCAATCACTGATTAAGAAAATGCCCTACAGGTTTGCCTACAGTCCTATTTATGGAGGTATTTTCTCAAATGAAGCTCCCTTCTCTCAGATGACTCTAGCTTGTGTCATGACATAAAACGAGTCACTACAATTTTTTTTTCAGACAGGATCTAAGGAGGTTAAGGTGGATTAAGAATAAGTTAGGCAAAAGAGGCAGTTTCACTTATGGATCCTTATTTAAGGAAAGTAATAATACCAGGGAGTCCTGGATAGGGCAACAGAAACCCTGTTTGGTTCTTGACCTTATTCATTTTCCACTGTGCAGCACCCCTCTGCCTGGACTGGGTCTAACTGGTCTGATACAGGGACACTGGGACAAAAGGAAGGGCATTGTAGCAGAGGAGGGAAACATAATTTTGGTTATATCTGATTTTCAGGATTGTGTTTTGTTATTTTCATAATCAAGTCAAGGTGTTACCCTAAAGAAGATGCAGTTTATGAGACTGCATCTTCTTTAGTTTTCTCAGGATATTATTATCTCCATTCCACACAGAATGTTAGCTTAATAAGCAAAGATTCATTTTAGTGCAAGTTTTCAGAAAACATGTGAACAGAACAAGCTTTTGGGAAGGAGAACAGACTCAGAGAAAGAAATTATAAAAGATGGTATCATCTAAAAATTTCCTAGAAGCAACTGTGGCTAGGACAATAAACTAACACAGATATTACTGGGGATGTAGAGAACTTAGGACCTGTGATCATTACTGTGGGAATGTAAAATGGTTCTGATGATGTGGAAAACAGTCTTGCTATTTTTCAAGAATAAAACTTAGAGTTACTATATAATGTACCAATTCCATTCCTCACTATATAGCCACAAGAATATAAGACAGGTACTCAAAACAACTAGATGTGTATGCCTATTTATCAATAGCACTGTCCACATATCTCTGAAGTAGAAAAAGCTCATAAGCTTAAATGATGAATGAATAAATTGTGGCATATTCATAAGATAGAGTATGTTCATCCATGAAAGGAAACAAAGTACAACCACATGCTACAATATGGATAACATTGTGCTGAATAAAAGCTAGACAGAGAGGCCATAGCACATTATTCCACATATATACCATATTTAGAATAACACATCTATTCATAGAAAGCAACTTGTAGGGAATGGGGGCTATAGAGAATGGGAGGTAATTGCTAAACAGAAATAGGACTCGTTGGAGACCACAAAAGCATTTTGAAACTACACAGAGGTAGTGATTTTACACATTGTGAATATACTAAGTGCCATTGGATTTTATATTAAAATGGTTAATTATAATGACTAATTATGAATTTCACCAAGTTCGGGAAAAAGTAGTAATTTTCCAGTAGGCTTGGGTACTCTGTCCCACAACTACAAAACAGGTGTTGGCTACACATACCTGGGAGGCAAGGCTGCTGTTGCTGAGGTGTGCTATGGGGTTCTGGTGGAACAGGCACTTCAGAAACATACTTTAGAAGCTCCGTTCCAAGATATGTTACCTATAAGTAATTAAAAATGGAATTTAAAAATCATATAGTCTGTAAGAGGCAAATATTTTTATTTCCTGAAAAACTGTGATTTTTTGTAAACAATTTATTGTTTCATAATGCCACAGGTCAGAGCCATGTCTAGCCTGCCACCTATATTTTTGTAAAAATATTTTGTTGGAAGGACATCTGTTCAACAATGTTCATAGCAGCACTATTTGTAATAGCCAGAAAAGGGAAGCAGCCTAGATGCCCCTCAACCGAAGAATGGATAGAGAAATTGTGGTACATTTACACAATGGAGGACTACTCAGCAGAAAAAAAAAAAAAAACCAATGGAATCTTGAAATTTTCAAAAAAGTGGATGTAACTGGAACAAACCATTCTGAGCGAGGTAACCCAATCACAAAAAGACAAACATGATATGTACTCACTCATGTGTGGATTTTAGACATAGAGTAAAGGATTACCAGCCTACAATCCACACTGCCAGAGAAACTAGTAAACAAGAAGGACCTGGAGAAGGGGAAAGGGTCAGGATGCCCTGAGCAAATTGAGAGCATGGGAAGAGGGGGGAGGGAGCTACGAGAATGAGAAGGGAAGAAGAGGAAGGATGCAGAGGTCATGAGGGAGCAGAAAGGTTGAATCAGGGGAAGAATAGAAGAAAGGATTTGTGATAGGTAGGGGTTTAGTTGGGGGGGGGGTAGGGGAGGACTGGAGGGATAAGGGAACTGGGATTGTCATGTAATTCAATCTTGTTTCTAATTCAAATAAAAAATGATTTAAAAAATATTTTGTTGGAATATAGTTAACATTCAGCTACTTAACATCTCTGGCTGCTTTGGGACCAGTAGAGAATTAAGTTCTTGTAGCAGAAATCATGTATCAATGAAGCCTGAACTATAATTTATTATCTGTTCTTGTACAGAAAAAAATCTGTCAGCCTTTGTTTGTCATTAATTCTCTCATCAGCTCACATGCACAACAACTATTAATCTAGTACCCACTGCTTTATAACTTAAAAATGATCATACTAATAAAAAAACATAAAAGTAATGTCACTTTTCAAGAAATGAGATTATCTAACTGATCAACTATTCAGTTGGAACCTCCAGCATGCCCCTGCATGATCTGAAAAGCCCCATTTCTCTGCCTCTCCCTCCCTTGATTCTCCCCCTCCCCCCTCTCTAAACACCTCTCAGAGAATCTCCAACAAAGAAAATGTGCCAAAAGCCCAGTTCTGCATTCCTGGCAACTACTGCAACTTCCTCCCCTATTGCCTCCAGCAGCCCAAGTCCCTGCCTAAGCATTCTAGCTTCTGACCATACTTGGGCACAATCCCAATTTGTGGCAGACCTGTCATTACATTACCCCTAGTCTACAGGCTATATAATCTCCCTGCTTTAGTTTGGGTGCATGACTTCTCCAGCCTCAATCTTTGGGACTGGAGAACTCACCTGGGAGTTTCTTTGCTCAAATCAACCTGTTCTTTTAGTTTTTCAATTCGGCTTGACTGGCTTACTGCATTGAAAAGGTAGAAAAACCTATTATCAGGCTACAGAAAATCTATTAATCACATTAATAACATTTAGGCCTATATATACATTTAAAAATGTGCTTGTGAATTTAGATATTAACTAACTAATTAATTAATGTGTTATTAGCTTAAAAGCTCAGAGCTTAAAAATATCTGTATGTAAATGGGAGGGGTGAAGGCAGATTCATAAACAGCTATCTACTCTCAGGGCATTCTAATAATATACTCCCAGAGGGTAGCTTCATGTGGACAATGTGTCTAGTTTGAATTTGATCATTCTTCTCTTTAGAGCACATTTTTTGTAATTTAGGAATGATACCCTCAAAGGCCTTATATAATTTCTGTGCCCCTGTTTCTGTCACAGTAATCATCTCATTGAAATGAGTTCATGTGTCTTGTTTCCATTAAATCCTAAGCTTTTTGGGAACATGGTCTGTGTCATATGCATTCTATACCCTTAGACATCATGTAGTGCCTGCTGTTATGGAATGAAAGACTTTTAAGTTCCAGGTCTTAAGTAAGGCTCTTAAATTCAATGTCTCAGTTTGTTTTTTGTAAAGAATTATCTGCAGCTTATTGAGTTAGGATTGAAAGAGATAATATCCAGCAAACATTTGACATGATTTTCTAGATTCTTAGTGCTCAATAACTTCCTATTAAGTTGAACAGAGTGAGCAACAGATTGACCTACAGATAGGGCATCTATAACAAGAAGGGGCCTGTTGGGCTCAACTCATAGGCTAAAGTCTGAAGGTGAAAATAGGATATATGGGGCCTCTCCCTGGTGCCAATCCCACTTTTCTTGTCACAGAGTGGAAAGGTCCCTAAATATTATCAGTCAGTTTTCAAAGAACCAATATTAGAAACAATGGATTTTATATTTGTTATGTCCTGAAAATGTCCAACATACTTTGTGCTCACCAAAATGCAGGCTGGGTATGTTAGCTCTTGTACCTCATACTAAACCCCAAATTTTACCAGGAAGTGCTGGGTGATGTTAATGTGGTAACTAACATAAAGTGGCATATACAAACCACTGGAAGTAATTAAAACATACAAAATAAAATCCAAAAAACACCCACAGCTTTTGTTTTTCTTTTCTGAGACAGGGGAAAAGAAGGGGTATGAGGGAGCAGGAAGATTGAGTTGGGAAAGAATAGAGGAGAACAAGATAAGAGATACCATAATAGAGGGAGCCATTATAGGTTTAAAGAGAAATCAGGCACTAGGAAAATGTCTGGAGATCTACAAGGATGACACCAACTAACAATCTAAGCAACAGAGGAGAGGCTACCTTAAATGCCCTCTCCTGATAATGAGATTGATGACTAACTTATATGCTATCCTAGAGCCTTCACCCAGCAGCTGATGAAAGTAGAAGCAGACACCCACAGCTAAACAATGAACTCAACTGGAATCTAGTTGCAGAGAGGGGGAAGTGATGAACAAAGGGGTCAAGATAAGGCTGGTGAAACCCACAGAAACAGCTGACTTGAACAAGTGGGAGCTCATGGTTCCCAGACTGATAGCTGCATGGGACTGATCCAGACCCCATGAACATGGGTGTCAGTGAGGAGACCTCAGAAATCTGTGGGGCCTCTTGTAGATGAGTACTTATCCCTAGCATAAGAATGGACTTTGGGAGCCCATTCCACATAGAGGGATACTCCCTGAGCCTAGACACACAGGGAAGGGCCTAGGCCCTATCCCAAAGGATATGACAAACTCTGAAGACCTCCGTGGAAGGACTCACCCTCCCTGGGGAGCAGAAAGGGTATGGGGTATGTAGGGTGTTAGTGGGAGACAGGGGAGGAGAGGAGGGGGAGGAAACTGGGACTGACATGTAAAACTATCTTGTTTCTATTTTAAATAAAAAATGGGAAAAAAAGAAAAATGAAATTGAAGAAGTGTCAACAACTTGGCCTAGGTCAAAGATTCTCATTCCAGTCAGCACACTAAAAATCAGACGGACAGCTTAAAAAAATTTTGCTCCTTGGCTAGTGAGATGGGTCATTGGTAAAGGCTCTTGTGTAAGCCTTGCATCCTGAGTTCCATCCCCAAAGCCTACATAAAGCTGGAAGGGGAGGATCAATTCCTTAAAGCTGTCACTGACTCCCATGTTCTGTGGCAAGTGTCCTCCGTGTAATACCACTTTCTGGTCTCTACAAAGGCTATCAAATCAGAAGGTATGGAGCTGGGGTCCAATAGAGGCTGGCAGTTTTTATTTTTCGCTTGTTTTGTTTTGAGACAAAGTCTAGCTATATAGCTCTACTTGCCCTGGAAGTTTCTGTATAGACCAAACTGGCTTCAAATTAATAGAGATCCACTTGCCTCTGCCTCCCAAGTGCTAAGACTGAAGATGTGAGCTACCACACCTGGCCACTGCTAATTTTTTTGTTTTTGTTTTGTTTTGTTTTTCGAGACAGGGTTTCTCTGTGTAGCTTTAGAGCCTATCCTGGCACTCACTCTGGATAGCAGGCTGGCCTTGAACTCACAGAGATCTGCCTGCCTCTGCCTCCCGAGTGCTGGGATTAAAGGCGTGCGCCACCAATGCCCGGCCTGGCCACTGCTAATTTTTAAAGCGACTTTAATATATGGCTGTTATAAAAAAACACAATTTATAAAGAATGGATGAACCAGGCACTACTCTGACCTGGTCTCTTACTCAGAGATGCCTCTGCCCATTGGAATGAACACTAGTAGCTAAGAGCATCAAGAAACTTGATGGGCACTAGCAGCATCAAGAATATCAGTGAGATCCAATGGGAGTAAAGCATTAGGACTCCCCTAGCAAAGCTGTGCAGCAGCCTACCCTCTATGTAAGAGGTACAAATCAACTGTGCTAGCAGCTCTGTCACATTGTTGGATGAAGAACAATTCTTAGTTTCTTGGTATTTGTATTGGCCAACTAATCATTCCTGGTTGCATACATCAACATTCCCAGAACTAGTCAGCAGTAATATACACAATTATGAACACAGCAAAAATTCCCTTGCATCTAGAAGTGACTGTGACTTAGGAGTTCCCCTAGAGCCTGAAGAAGCAGGTAAAGTTTTTTATGGTAAACTTTTATAAAGACTTGTAAAAAAACCAAACAAAAAAATCCAAACTCATGGAAGTCATGTTTCTTAGCCTTGTGCATTTACAAAAGTGCACGAGTGCCCCATAATAAGTGTGAAAGCCCTGCTTTTTTTTCTTTTAACAATTTTTAAAAAGTAACCTAAGGCTGTTCATAATCTGGATAAATATCTCACACCAAAGACCATCCTATTTTTAGTACCCACATTTGCACTTGCTTCACTATCACATAGGTACTAAACCACAGGACTAGCTGATGCGGCTGATAAATTATCAGAAGCAAGATGATATATAAATGAGGCACTGGTATAGCACAAGAGCCATGTGTCCTAGTCAGCTATTCAAAGGCAGGAAATGCAGTAGTTCCAATAAAGGAAAAGAGAGGAGAAAGTGAGTCCTCACTGGGTATACTGTAACATGAGCATGCCAAAATCAAAAGAACAAAGCCAAGTAATCTGCCAGATACACAATAGGAGGAAAGATTCTGTGTCAGCAAGAGTATAATCTATCAGATTTTTAAATATTGCAATGAAAGGGATTATTAAGATGCTAATTGCTGAAGCCAATACACCCCGGAGGAGTAGATGCCAGGAAATAATCAAATTGAGGCCTGAAATCAATAAAATGGAAACGAGGAGAACAATACAAAGAATCAATATAACAAAAAGTTGGTTCTTCGAGAAAATCAACAAGATAGACAAACCTTTATCCAAACTACCAAATAACAAAGAGTGAACATGCAAATTAATAAAATCAGGAATGAAAAAGGGGACATAACAACAGACACAGAGGAAATCCAGAGAATCATCAGGTCATACTTCAAAAATTTATATTCCTCAAAATTCAAAAATCTAAAGGAAATGGACAATTTTCTGGACAGATTTCACTTACCAAAATTAAATCAAGAACAGATAACCAACTTAAATAGACCTATAACCCTTAATGAAATTGAGGCAGTCATCAGAAGTCTCCCAACCAAGGGCCAGATGGCTTCAGTGCAGAATTCTACAGAAATTCAAAGTATAGCTAATACCAATTCTCCTCAAAGTATTCCACACGAAAACAGCTTGGTATAGGCATAAAATTAGACAGGTAGATCAATGGAATAGAGTTGAAAATCCTGATATTAACCCA